GTCGCCCCCGTACAGCTGAGGAAGAAGAGCCGACCACAAGGAATCGTTGCCCCCGTACAGCTGAGGAAGAAGAGCCGACCACAAGGAATCGTTGCCCCCGTACAGCTGGGATACATGTCTCAACTATGTCCAGTGTTTGAGCGCCGCTGCCTTTGAAAGTAAGCGGGGTCATCAAACCGTGCATGGAAATGAGAATAACTCTGTAATTCGGGGCCTTGTGCGTGCACAGAGCTGCCGCCCCTCACCACTTCATTTTTTGACCAAGCTGGAATTCCTCCGGCCTGAGACATGTCATGTCGTTCAGAGCTCATTCATGTCTAATTACCGTAGCGCTGAACCATTTTCTGACCCTTTGTGGGCCCGTCGAGAGGCGAGCCAGGGCCACGCTCTCCTCACACTCGGCTCCAGCATCCTCCTCCTCAGCAGCAGTCACAGAATGAATGGAATGTGCACACAAAGGGAGGAATGTCATTTTACCGAGTGCCGCTACCCCCCGGACCAACGGACACGAGCACGCACGCACACAGAGCAAAGCACAAGTCCAGGCATGTTTAAAGACAGAGAGGAAAGTTGATGATTTTTATTTTTTAATAAAAGAAGCTGAGCTTAATCTAATAACTTCTCAGCACAGGCAGCAGTGTGAGTACAGCTGGTAAATCATCTCTGCCACGTTATTTATTTATTTATTTCACAGTTACTTCAGCTGTGCATCGGCCCAGAATGCATTGTGCCGATAAAATAATAGCACCGTCCTGAGGTCAAAAATTTACTAAGCATATTTAATTTGTTAACTCCAGTTTCTTCCCACAGACTAAAAACATGCATGTTAGGCTGACGGGTAACTCTAAATTGTCTCTATGAGTGAGAGAGTGAATGGTTGTCTCGTTTGTCTCTATGTGTCCCTGTGATGGACTGGAGACCTGTCCAGGGTGTCCCCCGCCCCTCGCACAGCGACTGCTGGACATGGACCCCCGTGACCCAAAATGGAAGAAGCGGGTAAAAGATGATGGATGGATGTCCTTTTTCAAGCAGATGAGATGTTTGACCTGCAGCAGTCTTTGGAGGATAAAACAAGAAGTCCACCTGAAGACTCGGTCCCGGTGGTGTTGGGCTCTCGGTGCATGCAGCTGTTGGTGGCAGCTGTAATGCGTGCACACTGGCACCCTCCCCTCTCAGCAGGCTGTTTACTGTAGCTTCCAGCTGCTGACGCCCTGCAGGACAGGCAGCTGTTGCTAACAGGACGCAGGCCGACCCGTGTTTGGGTAAGGACCGGGCCTGTCGTTCTTTTGGGCCCGCGGTTTCAAACAACTTGTCATGTTTAGATCTGGGAGCTTTAAACAAACTATGACGTAGCGAGTTATAAACACGTAACAGAAACCAACAAGTTCACACAAAAATGCATGCTGCTCTGTTTTTTAACATAAGTCCAGTAAATAAATGAAGACACAAACAAATACTGTTAGTTTGTTTGTTTCACGCTGGTTTAAGGAACGCCACTTCTTTTGGCCAACGCTCAAGAACATAAGAGTTCAGTGTGATCCTGTTCACATAAAATATGTTCAACTCTTAAAAACTTTGAGATATTTTGTTTATATTTCGCACATTCATTTTCAAAGTAATCTTTGTTTATATATAATGGAAAAACTGTTTAAATCCAATTACATGTGATTCAGTTCAGTTTATGTCAACTTTTATTTTTTCAAATATTCACTAAAAACTAATCTTCAATGCAGTTGAACTCGTTTCAGTATTGTTTTATTTTAAGCACAGATTTACTATAAAAGTTTGTCTTAAAGTATCACACATGACAACAGAAGTGATTCAGTTCAGTTTGAATTTCCTTCAGTGCAACTTTATTCTATTCAGCTCTATTTAATTCAGTTAAACTCAAATCAGCTTCATTCACATTAAAGATTATTTCAGGTAAATCTACAATAAGAAACAGATCCATTTAATCCAGTTACAAGTGATTCATCTCAACTGAGTTCAATTTCACTGCGATTTGATTCAGTTCAATTCAACTCTTTTCTGTCACGTTCTGTTCAGATCAGTTTAATTCAGTTTTATTTGTAGCCCATTTTCACAAACAGTCATCTTCAGTGCAGTTCATCTTTATTCTGTTCAAATCAAATTGATTTCAAAGAACTGTACATGAGAGCAAACTGTTCCAGTTTAAATGTAATTAGAAGTGAATCAGTTCACTTCAGGTTCATTCTAATTCATTTAATTTATTTTAGTACAAGTTCATTTCAAAGGTACCTCAGAGTACCACACATTTAGAAACAGATTCACGTGATTACAAGTGATTCAGCTCCATTTAATCCACTTTAATAAGATGTAATCCTGCTCAGTTTGACTGAGTTCTGGTCTTTATATAATGTGGTGCCTACACACAATAAAAGTGAGTCCAGGGTACTACAGTGAACCGATCCAGTTCCAACTGATCCAATTTGATTCCAGTTCACCACAGCTTCATTCAGTGAAGTCAAATCCAGTTCAAATACAATTACAGTCAGATTTAATCTGAATTAGATGTTGATTCAAAACCACCATTAACGAGTCTGTACATGATAAGTGCAGTAAGAGCTGATGGTCTGAGGAGTCCTCACTGATTAAACCTCGGGGTCCTGGTGTGAGAGCAGTAAACTTATTTTATGAGAGCTGTCAAAGAAATGTGAGGAAGTCCATTAACTTCAAAGGATCTGTATCTGCTCTTATCTCCTCAGAGACAATGGGACCCGATAAGAGCAGTGTTCTGGTCCAGGTCAAGAACTGGTCCAACAGGGACAGACCAGTGATTTGTCAGGACTTCAGTTCGGTTTTTGTGGTTTGGGTCAGGCCTGATGTTGAGGAGCTCCACCCTCAGCTCCAGTCCTGATTTTCAGTCCTGGTCCTGGTAAAAGACAGAAAAAAGAAAAAGAGGCACCAAGAAGCGGGGGGGGGGGGGGGGGGGGGGGGGGATCAGATGTGGCCGCCCCGCTCCGCGCTCCGGCCCTGGTGTTCCGGCTCTCCGGCTCTTTGTCCCCGGAACTCCGAGTCGCTCCCGGTGTCCGCCGGGACTCTTCTCTGCATCTGGATCCCGCAGGAGCAGCCACGGCCCCGGCGCCACACGAACCGAGGAAAGGAGAGAAAAGTCCCGCCGACCCCCTCCGTGCTCCCGGGGCTCGAGCGCGCGCGGTGCGACCGTCCACAGAAACTTGGAGACACATTGAAATCCCGCGGCGTGTTTCCTCCAGCGTGGAGGTGGACGCTGAGGCGGCGGGCGCAGGTCTTCGTCGTGTGTTCCCGTGATTGTCCGTGCCGTGGACTCGCAGAGCTGGACTCGTGGAGAGGACGCAGCGCTTCTTCAGGAGTGGGACTCCAACTTTTAGTCTCTGTCTCTTTTTGCTGCTGCTCTTTTTTCACTCTCCGTGACCATGAAGCTGCTGTGGGCGCTGTGTGTCGCGCTCTCCGTGTCCGTGACTGCCGAGCAGAAGTTGAGGAACTGTAACGAAGTTCGTGCTGCGTTCACGTCCAAAGGCTTGAACGTCAACGATGTCCCCAACAAAGGAGTCCACGGTGAGTGTCTCCGTCCGGGGACTAATGGGGAACCAGGAACCTCCTGGGGTCTGAAAACTAGTTCTTTAAGCTAGCGACGTTAGCATTCAGAGCTAATGCTTTATTAGAGTTTCATGTCTCCATGTAGGAGCTGCATGCTTCACAGGCAAGAAAAGGCTTAATCACATGTTCTTCATAACATGTTAATCACATGTTCCTGATAACAGGTTAATTACACGTTCCTGATAACAG